TATGTTAAGAGTGGGGAGGGGATTATTAGAATGTTCTACCAGAAGGGTCCAGGGTTTGGGGGAAGGGCGGTGTGGGGGGCAAGGCGAAGTCGAAGAGGGATTGGATGGAAGATTGGACCAATCATTCAAAGCCCTGCAGAAATGATTGGTCCAGAATGAACAGTGTTAAAGACCAATGAGAAGCCTGGAAATGGACCAATCATCATACGGATCCAAAATGGACCAATCCTGGACTCGAAGGGGGCTATAAATAGGGGGAGTTTGGGCGGGTAAGGGTTTTTCGCTGGGAAATTTGTATTTTGGGGAGAGTCCAGTGCACTTAGGGGTAGCGCAGTTTTGTTTCTGGCTCATTGTGGGCTTATCCTGGGTACTCTGTTCCTTGCAGCTATTTTAATAAATGAGAGCCTATTTCCCCAGAGAGAGTTTGACCTCATTCATATTCATAACAAACATGTGGCTTAATTAGCATAAGAAGAGAGGAAATCATTTAACCAATAGAAAATAGAATACTACTTATTAAGAGAACTCTGTAACTTGTAGCCAAGGAAACATTAGTGCCTTTGTTTGCTAAAATACATAAATAGTGAAAGTTTTGATAATCATGGTGCTGACTTTGTGAATGTGGCCCACAGCATCCTTTGCTGTGCAGAACTGTAAGTAAATCAAATACCTTGATGCTGCATGGGGATTGGCCTTTTGCACACTGGGTAAAAGAACTTCTTTGGGACAACAATACTTGTGATACTTTGGGACAACAATACTTGTGATACTGAGTTTATTTTTTTTCTATGAATTAAATAGCCTACTTGGGCCAGGCCATGAAAACTGCTTATGTGACTTTTCAATGTGTGAGGCTAGTGCAATGGCTGCTGTTTCTTATGTGTGGTCTCTGGGGCCTTCTGGGTATGTCCTAAATTGTAACTCTTATTCCTTTAAATTTGGGACCCACCCACACAGAGTTGAAAATTTTTTTCTGACCCAGTGTAGCCTATTTAGAGTCCATCATGGTGTATGTATCATTTATGTTTCTTTTTAAAAGATTTTGTTTTACCAAGATGTTACCAGCCTCTGAGTATCATGAGTTTCTGTAGTCATTTTCAGTATCCTGGATATTTTTGTCCAGTACTAAGTGATCCTGTATCACTATTTACTCTAGGACTGCTTAATCTGCTGATCATCACAGATCAAAGCATTGGTGCCATTGACAAACCTCTTCAATTTTTAAAATTGATCATATGTTTTTATCCTTGCCTAAAAATTATGATTGTCATATCATAGACTCTTATCTAGCAATCTAAATCCCTCATCTAAATTCTTAGTCGCCTTTACTTAATTACATGAAAACAGGGTGTTGAAAAGCACTCCGGGGCCTTCTCAAGGCATTATAAACCATACTAACAAAAACATCTTTGGTCATAGCACTCAAGTTATTTCTGATTTAAAGCTGTATTCTGTAAAGGATTCTGCTTTACTTTGCCTATTGCTCTTATGTCTACTGAACTGATTCTTTATTATAATTTTCACCAGCTTGCCTAATGTGGAAGCCAGATTCCTGGCTGGAGTGGTTTTCCAGATCATACAGCAAGCTTTTTTTTGGAGATGGTTGTCCCTCTGTGAATGGCTTCTTCCCTTTTAGTTAATTAAACTTGTTCATGGCTAACAAGCTGTGATTAATCTTATCCACACATCACTTTATTTTGTCTACTGTTGAGCAGTGTACAGGAAAACAACAGCTCATCAGACTGATAATCATTGGAGGAGAAACTTAAAACTACAACATATTCTGATTTAGTTTTTTGGGTTTCTCATATTTCCTCTTGGAAAAAATCAGAAATTTATGCAGCCACTTTTGTCCAGATGCTGCCCTTTGTTATTAATTTATTTTGCAATCTGTATTTCTTGATTTTGGCAGAAATAACATGTTACTTTCATCTGTCTATTTAGGAATCCTTCTCTAACAAGTCTTTGATACATTTTTCTCTTTCTCTTCCTCCATCCATCCTTATAGACCCCTTCAGTTTTTGTCTGTTTCATTGGGTCATGTGTTTTTGTGTCTGTATTCCCAGAAATGGAAAAATGCAGGTAATGCCTGAAGATATGAGTACCACTTCCTTTGATCTGTTCTCTGCTTTGTTTAGACCAAGGAACAGCTTGAAAATGAATGCATTTGAGTGTTATTACCAGCCTCTAGGACTCAAATCTTCCTTTTAAAACAGACCCAAACCAAGAATTCAGGTTACTACTTCAAAGCTGATATGTCATTGGGCCAGAACACAGCAGCGATTTAAATCTAATACAGATATGAGGAAGTTGGAGTAGACATTTTCATGTTTGGGGTTTGTGCCTGCCTGTTCAAAGCAAGGTGCAGCATCTTGCTGTGCTCTTCCAGGTGCCTGGCACATCACAGCCACTGCCTTATACCTGAGGAAGGAAACTTTGTACCTGGCACATTCCATCCCACATTCCATCCCTTCCAGCCCTGGAAGTGAAGATGCTCAGCTGAGCAGTGCCTGTGTTGAGTGGGGCTGGGCACTGGCTAAAGGTGCTGCTGGTACCCTCTGAAGTGAGGCTGTGTCCAGCTGTACCCCCAGACATGGTCTGAGAGCTAGTGGCTGGGCTCTGCTCTCCCTCATGCCACTAGGAGCTGGCAGGGTGCTCTGGAGCCAGTGCAGCTCTGGGGCATCTGTAGGAGAGCCAGGCCCTGAGAAAGCATGGGCTGTACACAGCAGCTGCCAAGGAGAGCAAGTCCTCTCCAGTCTGCTTCAGTCCAACAACAGCAAGTTTAATAAAGAGACAAAAATCAGTTTCTTTTCTCGTCTTCTATGTGTCCTGACTATCCTACATAAAGCATCTAGAGGTATATAAACCAGAAAAAATGCCCCACAAACTTTTCTGCAGAGCATATCTTATTGCAAATTGTCACATGGATAAAGAGGCTGACTATAAATCTGGGCACTGATTATGTTGGAGGATGTCTGTCTGTGTATTGGTGTGCAAGTGTGCATAAAAAAATCAGTATGAAATGTTGACAGGAGAAATAACTGTTGTTGCAAAGCATGAAGTTTTTTTATGCTACTTTAAAATAGCATTCACAGGTGTAAAACCCAATTTTTTCCCTATGCATTAGTGCTGTTTTCTGCATGTAGCAGTATACCTTCCATGACCACAGCAATAAACTGCCCTCCTAAAGTGATGTAATCAGAACTGATTGTTTTTCCATGGGATACAATTAGCATTTGCAAGTCAGTACCACCAATTCATTCCTTCCACAAATGGTAATGGGCATAAAACACACCTGAAAATCTTTCCTCAAGAGAAGATAAAGTTTTATGAAAACAGAATGTTTTCTCCTGGCCTGTGGTGAATGACAATCATGAGGCAAAAGTAGACTTCAGGCTGGGACCCTTTAGATACTACATTCCTGGTGAATTGATGCATTTCAAGTAACATCCTGCTTCCTAAAGCCCACACGTAAAGGCCAGCACCTTTGAAAATCATGTTTCGCTTTTGGAAACATACAGCCTTGCTTTCAAACTTTGGAAAAAAGCCCAAGAACTGAGGAATCTGCTGAGTTATTGCAGAGTGTGTGCAGAAGTATTGTTCAATGACTAATGCACATAGGAAATCACTGATTGCTAGATAGACTTTCCCAGGAGCACCTAAAAGCTGCTAAGACCCCCAAGAATGGCCAGAATCTCCCTACTGTGCTCCAGCAAGTTTCCCCTTGAGCCTCTCCTGCACCCCTGCAAGTGCATTCATGTACAGAAAACAGACCACAATGAAAAGTTTCTTTCCTACTATTTATCTTCTCAGGAAACAATTTGAGATGTACTAATGGGAGAAGACCTTACAAACACTGATTTTGAATGGGGTCTTCAAAGAAAGATGGAAGCCTGTGATAGAGCTCCTGAGAGATGTAAGGCAGGTATCACTATGTGTAGTTTGAGAGACAGAAGCTGGCTTCAGTGTGGGGAAGCACATTATGCTCTGTACCTTCTTTCTCATGGAGAAGGAGGCCTTATTCTGTAGCAGCTAGGACAGACTGTCCTCTGGGTTCAGGAAACAGATGCAATTGTCACCTAACACCCTAAGCTCTGTTGCCAGTGAAATATTGAATGGAATCAACAAAGAGTCCTTAGCTCTTTCTAACGTCTATAAAGAGCTAAAGCAAGTTTATGAGGCATTACTAGGGACAGCAAACTTTATTCAAAGATACATCTTATCTTCATTTCCCTTTCAAAAAAAAAAAAAAAAGAAGCTTTTCTATAAAAACCTTTCAGTTCAATCATTAAATTGTTTCTAATGGCATATCTTAATCCTGCAGTAGATATAATTGATCAGAAAGTATAGAGAAAGCAAAGCTGTGCCAGCCTGTTAAAAAAAAAATGCCAGTCACAATATTGAAGAAAGTATTATGTTGAATCCTGAGCTTCCCATATCAATAGGGCAGCCAGAATGCAGTGCCATGGATCAACTTGTAATCCAGAATGAAAATTAAATTTACAACATGGCCTTCTCTTCCCGGCCCATTAATTCCACAATCATCAACTGTTTATGGCAGCCTAATGTCAACATGCATCTTGTGCAAGACAGCAAAGCAAATGGTCGAATGTCAATGAAGATTAGGGCAAGGACATGCACTGCTTGGTATGTACAAACATCTCATCAAGACATCTTTCAAAAAACAAAGTCAAACCCCACATTTTCAAATATAGATGGACACAGAATTATGGCTCTTGACGTCAGTGATCCACTCACGAGATAAAACTTCAGCTTTAAACTGCTCATTAAAAGCAAACAGTGTCATTCAGGGGTGTTGAAGGGAATTGAGCCAAACTGCCCAAAGCCTTTAAAAGTAAATGCTGGCATGTATTGTCTTTCCTTCTCAGATGCTAAGATCTACAAATTAAATTATTTAGTTTTGGTACTAGTCTTTAGCTTCAATATCTTTAAGTTCAACTGTGTAAAACACAACTGAATTTTCTGTAGATTTTCTGGTCTTCTTTGGGTTCTGACTGTCCTTGATAAAACATTTAGAGATAAATCAGAAAAAAAAACCAAAAAACAACAAACTTTTCTGCAGAGCAGATCTTCATGCAAATTGTCACATGGACAAGGAGGCTGACTATAAATCTGGGCACTGACTGTGTTGTAGGGTGTCTGTCTGTGTGTTGGTGTGCAAGTGTACACAAGATTGCATTATTACACAGAACATACTATTAAACTGAGGCCAAAATGTCCAAGATCTCCTGTCTGATATGTCATACCTTTGTATTTAATTAGTGAACACATGTAGGAATAAATGAGGATAGAAGTCAGGCTGGAATTATCATTAAAATGAAAAATTTAAAAAGAGAGTAGTTCTTTCAGTTCTTTCAATGATTTCACAGGAAAGTATTAGAAATCTAAACTACGCAGTACACAGTACCAAGCTATCCCCAAATCCATTAGCAGTTCCATTTTAAGGTCTGCAACTTGAGGTTCTCTAAACACTTTGTAGAAGTGGTGTGGGGTTTTTACATTTCCCATGTGTAACATATCTTAGAAAATGTGTTTTCTAAAAAAACCTGAGTTTGCTTTTCTCTTTGTGACTTATCTTTAGTCAACCTTTTTTGCTATGTGTGTAATTTTTTTTTCAACTGGATCTTTTTGGGAAATTGGGTAATCAAAACTACATAATGTATTAAAATATGGGGAAAGTATTTATGCTGGTAATGTAACATGTGGTATGTAACACTGTTTTCTTCTTGTTTCCTTTTGCAGAACTCTTCATACTCGCTTTTTGAACACCTCAGACAGTTTTTAAGGTTAGTGTTTTCTACCACTTCTTCAAAAGAGCTAATGCTTGCCCAGTAGAATTATAAAGGCAACAAATTTAAAACAACTTAGAGAAATAAGTTTAAGCTAGGAGAATTTGCACCTCTTTGATTGAGTCCTTATTCAGAGTGCAAAAGGAGAAAACCATGCCAGGATAAGAAATTCTTTCAATGAAAAAAAAAAAAGGGGAGGAGGAAGGAATAACAAGCATGAATGTTACAATAAAATTTTTCCCAGAGGAGAAGTTTCCCCAGAGCAACAGCTCCCTATAACTTCTTATGTGCTGTTGAATAAGATCCCTTCTATTTCTGACATCCAGGTTTCCTGGAATTAAGGGGTATCTTTGTGTCAGCAGATATGTCATTGGAAGTGAAGTGATGTAGAAGAACTAAGTGCGAATGCTGATAATTTTCAATTTTGAAATTTTCCATTTCATTCCCTTTCAGTAGAGGAACACCCATGAAATGTGGAGGTCAAGTACAAAATAACAAGAAGTTTCTGAATGGAGCACCAGGGAATATTTGCAGCAAACCATTCCAGTCTGTGCTATAATCTAATTTATCATGGACAAGTAGTTAGATAATAAAGAGGTAAAATTCAGTACAGACAGTACAATATAGAGGCTTTGTACAGAAACACTGCAGTCATTATATAGCACTTTTTTTTTTTTAATGTCTGTGTTATGTACAAAAAGATCCTTCTCAAGGCCAAGACTTGCTGTGGTCTGGAGGCTTGTTTTGTGTGGAATGAGTGAATAACAATCTGCACCCATAAGGAAGTTGCATTTTCTCCCACAAGGAGTGCTGGTACCATTCTCAGCACAGTCAGTGAGAGGTCTTTGATGGTCTTGATCACATCCTGCAGTGATCATCTTGCTTTCTGCCCATGGAGTGCCCAACAAGTTATTCTCCTGTTGTCTCAGGTGACTCAGTCGTGTGCTGCTCTGTAGATGAGATGAATGTAGCTGTACACAGCTGTGCTTTCAGGAAGCTTGCAGATAATGGACAATCAAAATCTGTTATATGGATTGTAGTAGAAGCACAAAATAATCCAATATAAATGGATTATAGTAGAAACACATAGGCATTGCTGAAATCTCATTGCAGTTTTTTCAGAATTTGCTTCCCTTTCAAAGCAGGCTCCCAACCCATTCATTTTTATTATATTTCCTGCTTGTCTGTTCAGCTCAAAGAAACTTTTAAAAGTATAAGAAAGAAATAGTGTTAGCAACATTATAGATCTTTTTGCTAGATAAGTCTAATAAGAATTATATTTGCAATTTTCCCCAAAGCCAGAGAAATCTGTTTGACAGTGGTATTGTCAGCAGTTAGGGAGAGTGATACCTCTATCAAATGCTTGTGGTTTATATTTAATATTTAAACAGACTGTGGATTCCAAAAGAATTGAAATTAACTACATCTGCACCCGGGGTGCATAGACAGGAACTGGGACTGGCACTCCGCCTATACAGAGTGTCTGCACTTTCAGAAGGATTTGTACTTGGTCATGAGTATTGCTTGACAGGCACATGAGTATAAATGAAAAATAAATTAGTCCTTTCTCTGTGGGGCCAACACAGGATTTGCCACCTGAAAGCATTTTTTTTCTCAAGCTGGTTGTTTTGGTGGAGGTTTGGAAACCTAGAGTTTTTCAGCAGTGTTGCTTCCTCTCAAGAGGCTGCTAACAAATGATCCAAAGCAGAAACTTTTAGAATTCCTGAGTTTCTGTTTTCCTGGACAGATACTGAAGTGGGTCCAATACCACATGTGTTGTTTGTACAGGCAGTGCCATTGATGCAAACCGAGTATGTGCAAGAGGTGAGCAAAGGACCAGAGAAATGTGTCTGTCCTGCTAGATCACAGGCTAGTGGCTGAGGCTCTGGAGTTACACTTTGATTTCTTTATTCAGCAGTTTGTTTGACAGAAGAATAAACAGAAGGACTCTTTCTGGCAGCAGTCCAAGAACATGAGACAGGATGCAGAGGGAGTTGTTGTTCTTCCAAAATGTCTCCTGAATGTATGGACAATTCCTTAGTAAGATTATTTAATAATGAGTTGATCACTGTTATTAATCTCCATTAAAGTAATAATTTCCAAAGGGATCAGTTGGTGATAAATCTCCATTGACTGCAAAGCCAGCAGAGTGATCATTCTCTTGAAAATCTAACCTAGGAGATTAAAAATGGTCAAATTAGCAATTTGATGCTGTCTTTTGTGGAAAACCAATTTCAGATTAACCTGATTTCAGTAAGATCAAGCTCTTCCTCCAGAAAAGACCTCCATTATGACAGGACATACAGTCACATTCAGATAAACATACCCACATACACTCAGAGGTGTGTGCTCTACATTCCAAAGCTGCAGTTGCCTATAAAACAGGAATGGTTTCAGTGAGACAGTGAGGTCCAAGCAGTAGGTCTAGGAAGGAAAGTGTCCTCACATAGAGAAGGCCACCCAGGATGCAGGATAAGAAAAGCTAATGGAGGAGAAACATGGAAAATAGATGTGAGAGAAAAGCATTTTGGAGAGGACACAAAGGCAGTAAAGAACAGGTGCTTAATATGAGGTTGCAAAGCTGCAAGCCAAGGCAGAAATCGCCCTGGATTCTCCTGTTGGCTTTTTTTTGTTCTGGTTTGTTTGTTTGTTGGTTGTTGGGGTGTTTTTCGAGGAAAAAATATCTTGTAAGTTTTTTATTAAAGAATGTCCCAAAGCTCAGTCTGTAGGTTCTGAAGTGTACCCTAGAGAGGAATGAGTCCTTCCCTTTGTCATCCCAGCTGGTCATGGAGGCACCACAAGCCCTGATTACTGCTGGGCTCTTATCAGGGTCCCCTGTGCATAGTGGTGTGTGGGGACAGGAGGGAAAGGGCCTTCTCCTCCTGGTGCCAAACATGAGCTAGAAACTGTTCACAGACTCACAGTGTGTCTGAGATCACTGAGACCTCTGGAAATCAGCTGGTGCAACACACCTGCTCAGAACAGGGTCAGCCAGAGCAGGTTTCTCAGGGCCATAGCCACTCAGGTTTTGAATATCTCCAAGAATGGAGACTCTACAGCTTCAGTGGGTAACCTGTGACAGGGTTTGATGACTCTCACAGTCAAAATGGTTACTTTTCCCTCATGTTTAAGCTTATTTTCCTGTCTGTTTTGATGAGATGGGGGCCCCACTGGACTGATTTGTTGCTAAGCTGGTCCCTGGCCAGTGTAAAAGGCCAAGGTAATAATACCTGCCTATCAGATGACAAATTCTGTCTGAGATGGTATAGCAGAGGCAAAAGCAATTTTTCCTCATGTGTGCATGCTCTCATGACAGGCTTGACAAATACAAATATTTTAAAACAAATGAGCTGTCCATGCCCATTCAATTGAACGCTGTGTGACACTTGTGAATGAAATAATTTTCACATGGTATTTAATGATTTTTACCTTGTGGAAGATCTAATTTTGCTGTGCTGTTCCTGAAATCATGGTGTAGACAAAGCAAATTCATCACTGTGCAATAATTCTTCCACTCCAAGATGGACACGGATCCCTAATTGGCATATGGATTGAAAGATTTACAGCCATGCTCATTTTCAATGGTTTGTACAAAGACAGAACTGAGTCAGTTCTCTGAGCCGATGAATACAATTTTTGTGAATTACTTATTCTGTCCTTATTACAAATTTATCAACATTTGATTCCTCATTGATCAGTTTCACTTGACATCTTTCAAAGTAGTACTGCTTTACACAGAAAGAGATGAAAGTAATTTCTGGTAGCAGATGTAAAGAAAGATTTAAAATATCATTAATAACTGATTTTTTTAAAAATCTTTATTCATCATTTCTCCTTTAAGCTTCCAGCTTTACTGCTTGTGATTTCGGCTTGAAGATTTTTTCCCATTTTCTTCTCTGCTTGTAAAATTTAACTGCCTAAATTACATTTCCGTATTTTCTGTGGTCTGGAGCTGAGCTGATGCAAGTGTAATATTTTGACCTTTTCTGACTTTATTTCTTTTCATATTGGATAGAGAAAACACTAGCTTAAGATGACCCAGCTGGTCAAATATGTTTGTTGAACCACTAAGACTGAATTAATTGTCTGAACAGCTACTTTCTCTAAATAGGTGGCAAATTTCACAGTTTCTATCTGAGAAAAGAGCATGTGTGTCTTTCCATGGAATGATAAATCTGGGAACTTCTACAAAATAGAAGTTGATATAAATCTTGTCCAAAGTTCCCAGAGTCTTTGAAGTGGGACTTGAAATGGGGCTGGGGATCAGTTTCCAGTGCTGCCACTTCTTGACACAAGCCTCACAAGAGACCACAAGAGGTCTGATACTCATTATTTTAATGACTGCATTGTCAATAGCACTATTTATTGCACTGTTTCTAGCATTTTTCCATATCAGAGTAGTCCAGCTTTGGGGTTGTGTCCCATTCCCTTTTTAGCCTTCCTGTGGATTTCAGTGGGCATTAAATCAAATCCTTTCCATCAAAATGCATAAAGGCGATGAGGAAAACAGTCTGAGTCTGTAAGGCATTTAATAGATACTCCCCAATTAGTATCAATAAGAGCTGGATGCAGACATATCACAATTTGTAGCAATAGACACATCATTGAAGGAAGAATATTTGTCTCAGTCTCATTTTGTCTTGCTGAGCAATTCAGGGTACCCATTAATTTACTCAAACTATTTTTCTAGTTTTTACAGTTCAGAGTTTAGAATTGGCCTTGCCATGAAAAAATGATGGAGTTGCACTGCCAAATGGAAACAGGAGCAGCTGTGCTACCTCTGGTCTCCTGAGCATACAGAGAAGGCAAACAGCATTCCTTTATTGTCCTGGCCTAAGGCTGCAATACAAGAAAGACAAAACTCTTCTATCTTAAGATTTTCTTAAGGTATGCTTAAGAATGCCTTTTTAAAAGTCTCAAGCAGAGCTGGTGCATATTGCTTAAAGGAAGACTGCACGTGCCTGCTTAATGTGTACACATAAGACCTTACTGCAATCTTTAATCCCTAATATCTTTGAACAACTCAGCTGCCTCAAGTAAAATGTGCTAATTACATTATACATACCTACCTCGAGGTCTTTTGCTGGGTAATTAAGCTAAATAACTCTGAGCTAAAATAAAATCTACTCAGTTCTCTTTGGTAATAATAACCAGGGATTGTGTCCAATTAAAAGATCAGCAACTGTAGCTAGAAACAGATCTTGGGAATGGTCTGGCCCTTTTCTTTCTACAGCCTTTGCTGCTATGCTTAAACTTATTCCAGGTCACTCCTGGAAATGCAGTAGCTCTTAACCTTAAATGTTCCCTTTTAATTGTGCTTGATTCAGTCCAGGGATAGGTCTGTTCAAGTGGTGAGAAATACATAAAGATGCTTATATGTTTCCAGCAAGATAAGGGGTGTAATAAACAGCACTGTGCCAGAGGGAAAAAGGGTGATAGTTTGAGTGGTGATGAAAGTCAGCAGGCTGAGTTGGAAAGCTTATGTGCAGAAGTGTCCTGTGTTAAACCTGTCACAAAGCTGGAGCAGATGCTGTTGTGAATGGATATATGGAGCTGAGAGATCTTCTTTGGGCTTGTTGGTTATCCTTCACTCTTCAGGAAGAGGAGAGGGTTCTGCCTCTTGTGCACACAGTCTAAGCTGGCCAAAATTCATCTCCATGAGTCTTGCTATGTGCTATAGGCCCACTGTTGCTATGGTAACACTGCAAATATTTTGCCTAGCCCGGGGCTTGGTGGCCCTGGGGTTTGGTGGTGAAGGAGAGCAACTTCAGGTTGTCTGGCCAGGCCTGTACCCCTTCCCTTGCTTACAGGCAGTCACAGTATGTGCTGCTTTGTCTGTGTCCTACACCAGTGGGAATGGATGTAACCATTAAAATAGATTAACAACTCCCTTTGTGGCAGGAAGTACTCAGAATGCCCATAAAGAAATCTATAGATGCAAACATTTATAGCAAACAGGTAACCTAGGGGAAACTGATATGCTGTAAAGCAGATATATTGATTTATCTCAGGAATAGCATAGCTAAATGCAGGGATCTGTTCTTCTGTGAACTGAGATGGCTTCTTTTGTCTCAGGTGAAATCAAGAAAGCCAGCAAGGATGGCGTGGGCAGACAAGTCCAAAAGTTGCTGAAGGCCTAAGGGCAGAAAAAGGAGATGAAGCACAAGGTATGTATGTTTCCTGGGAGAGGGTGCCAAACAATTGTGTCTTTCTCACCTGGAAAAACCTTCCAAATAAATATTTCAAAAGTCCCCTTGAAATGCAACTGAATATTTCAGCAAGTGAGGTGATTCTCTTTTATATTTTCTTGGTAAATATTTTACTTTGCTCACATGGATATATCAAGTGAGAAAGGTTACTGTATTTTTTGCACCTGTCTTCCTGCTTGTATAAGCTGCCCCAGCTTTAATGTTTTGTCAACACTGTGAAGGGGTAAATTCTCCTGGGCTTCTCCTCACCTCCCTATTGAAGAGCTAGGAAACTCCACCAGACTGCTAAGCCTTGTTCCTCCAAATATCAGCTTTAGGAACATGTCTGTTCATGGGGCTTTAGCCACTGCCCATGGAATATTGCCCCAGCATGGCCTACTCCTTTCTCCTGACATTATGAGGAGGGAAAGTCCTCCTGAAAAAATTCCACCATGTCTTTTCAGGTGAAATCTGACATTTATCTCCCAGGAAGTTTCAATTAACATCTCTAAATTCTCCTTAATCTAAGATATTTATTCTGGATCTCCAGCGAACAGATCTTGATGCAAACTGAAGAGACAAATAATGCTGGTGATGTCTTCTGGCCATGTTCTCCAGCACCTGCCTGCCCCTTCTCCCTTTGGGAGAGCTTTGATGTAATTACTGGTTGCCATGTGGAGGTTGCTCTGCCATGCACATCCTTAGAGCACTTTGTATCTTTCCTTTCTTAATGTTGGTTGTTTTCCCCCAGTAACAGCCAGCCCTATGAAAAGGTGGAAGTTTTGCCATGCTCATTCTCCAAGTATTAGGCAACTGCTGCTTACAGGAATCCACAGATGCAAATTGGTCCCTTGAGTGCTTTTATTTCATGTAGGGAAGACTAGGTACCAAAAAAGGTAGTCCGCCTGAGCTGCTAAAGATGCCATCTGACCTTAGCACTGGTGAGAGGAGCATGGCTTAAAGCTTACCTTTTTCAGCAAAGTAGTCACTAATTTGAGCAAAATTCCAGGATATGGCAGAATTAAGAAACCATAGGTTCATAAGGACTTCTGTCTGGGTTAAACTTCAGAATGGGAACATAAAAAGGAATATGAGGACCAAATGAGGAGCAAAACTAAGCATAAGCATCCTTTCCCTCTCCTCTAAACATGTTCTGCCTCTACCTGCACGTAGTATGTTCTACGAAGGTCTCTGTCTCTTCTGCCTCATCAGGATATTTAGGCAGGGAAATACCCAGTTTCTTTCCCTGAGTGACCTAGGTGTGGGAATGCTCAGGGACTGGGGGTTGTCCACACCTGAGCAGGAGCAGATCACGCTGCTGCCCATGACAGGAATCCCCAGTGGAGCTCTTGAAACAAGGCGGGAGAGGAGACCTCAGTTACAGTCTAGAAGCAAAGTTCAGTATTCAGGCAGGATTTGGGGCTGTATTCTGCTAGTGTCAGGACAGCAGAAAATTTAAAAGTTTTACTTACTTGTGTGTTTTGTGCATGTGTAAACATCAAGCTGAAGGAAAACAAAGGGAAAATGTGTTAATATTTTAGCATTTAATATTCCTCTGTCTAATACTCCTTCAGCATTTTCAGTGTACACAGAGGGCTGTTAATAAAGAATTTAGATGCAATAATTTATTAGTTTATCGAAGTTGAATGCCCAGTTTTATTTTAATTATGTGAACTGTGTTGCTTTCTCAGGCTGAGAAAACCTGAAAGAGGAATAAAAATTGTTTTAGAGTTTATGGATTGTTAAAAAAAAAATTGAAAATAACAATAAATGCCATTTTAGACAATTTTTAATAGCTTTTTAAAGTCAGAACTACAGAAAAAAAATAAATTTTGTTGTTTATATTTTCCCCCCAAGTCCCTAGAGGAAACTAATTTTATATAAAAATATCAAGTTTCCTCTATAATGTTACATTGTAGTGTTAAATGTCATCCAGCAGAAGAAAAACGCTTCTGGTATTTTCTACTTATCTGTATGTAAAGTTTCACTGCATTCATTTATTATTTAGACTGCATTTTTGCAGAAAATTCAAACATAATTAAATAAAGTTTCAAAATAGTCATGTACAGAACATAAGAGAAATGAGCCCAGCTATACTGTAAAAGAAAGACTTTTTACCTTTTTACAACAGGAAGAATCAGTAGAAATTATTCCAATTTCTGCTTGACTGGCTGAGCTTTGCACAATACAGGCTGCCAAGCAAAAGAGACAGCTAGTTCCTCCAAGTTCTGATAGGAATGATGCTAGCAGCTTTCTTTCTTCTTTCTGTTCTTCAAAGAGGAATTAAAGCAAACAATTGGTGTGTCATCATAGGCTCCTAGGCATTTTCTCCTTTGCTTTCCTTTCCTCACAGCTTCTGACAGTCTCTGGTTGATAAAAGTGCAGTGTTTCAGATATGGTTTTTTTACCAGCTTTCCTAGCAGTATGTTTCAAATCTTTCCTTGTTTTTTTATAAACCATATGCCATATGCCAAATCATATGAATGGAGTTTGTGAGAAAGAAGCCATCTAATGCAGCAACATACATTTTTTTATGGGGGTGTTTGGCTAAGGGATCATTTTAATGCCACCATAAAGTTTCCTTCCTCCATATTTCCACCTTCAAATACTGTGCCTGTAAATTTATGGTGCCAGTGGAGGTTTAGTGATAATGGTTCAGAAGCTGAGTATGGCAAGAAAGAGCTTAGGAACATTCATATCCTCCATTTGGGATATAAAATTATTGCAATCATTAAGTAAAAATGAAAGCTTTAGTATAAAAAGGTGTCAAAACCCAGCAAAGGTAAAATGTTCTGTGTTTCCGAAGTTATAATGAAGTGCTGAATTATTCCACACCCTTGACGCCTCAGATTTGTTGCCCAAAACTATACAAAAGAGAGTTAATGGAGCCAGAGCATTACATAGAGTTACTGTTTTAAAAATTGCTTTTAAAATGTGAGTGAATGCAAGTCCCTTATCTATATGAAAATAGATGGAAATATATTCAGTGCATTTATGGCGTATGAAAGGTTGTATTTAATGTTAACTGGTCTTGACCTTTAGACTGAAATTTGCATTTGATTTTCGATGCCTCTGAGAACATTTTACTTCCTGCACTAATTCCCTTTCTAAACTGTGAGGACTGCAGGCTCTGTTGCAATATTGATCATTTTACACTGCTGCTGGTAACTTGTCAAGGCTTTATAGAGTTAACTATTGTCTTGAAGTCAAATTATGAATTTTGGATCCAATGGGATTATATAGGCAATAGACTTGTTCAAAATGAACATATTCCTTGTGCTCTAAATAGTCTGTGAGACTGTGACTGCTCCTTGAGAAGGTTTATTATTATGTCATGGCTGAGCTTGGGTTCACACCAAGACATAGCCTAAAAAATAAAGTTTTACCAGATGACATAGCCTTAGACTACAATAAGATGCTTGAAGTGTCATTTTATAATCCCTTCTAAAAAATCAGTCACTTAGACTTTGTAGTCACACTGCATTTATGTCACACACATTTTATGTCAAACTGCATTTCCTGTGTCTCTGTGCACAATTTCATGTTTCATAAGCAGTCATTCGTTCATTCATTCATTCATGTATTCATTCTTTTTTAAATAGTTTGTGTCTCAGTCCTGTCTCTTGTGTATAGTAAACTTATTGCCTCCTTCATCTTAACACCACCACCTCACTCAACCAGTCTGACATACTCAAATTCAGAATGATCATTCTCCACCTTCATTTAGCATTAAATCCAGTAAAGTCCACTTCAGATTTGAAGAAAGGCTTTTACTTCCTAAAGCTTGTCTGCTTTTTCCCCTCACTCATGTCAGTACCAATATCTTTTCACAGAAGGTATCGTCTCCCTGATTAATTCTTGGCATTAAAAAGTGACACACAAAGATCAGGACCTCAGAGTGAGACAAGGCACTGCTCTTGCTCCTACACATAATTAACATGCTGTGTAACTTGATATGTCTATAGCTCTTGATCCTGTGCTCACTTTAGAATTACCAAATTGATGCCTGGTGTCATTAGCACAGTGAGATCTGTGGGCTGCTGCATTAGACAATAGACAGCATCACCCACATTACACTTGGGTTCACTTGCACCTCATGAAAGGAACAGGGATGCTCTCAGAGGCTTGTGTGGAGGTGTTACTTCGGATCAGATCTCAGTTCAGGAGGCATCAGAAATTAAAATAATGTTATAAGAAAATAACTCGAAATGAGGTACTGTGCTGATAAGCTCAACAGAGTAGTGCCCAGACAACTGCATTATGAATAATGCAGGTCAAGCAACAAGGGGAAATGACCTGTATTTAATAAATTTAATTTGTGATTACACAATACTGATAGCCCTAATTGAATAACTTATTCAATACATATTCCTACTACTCATCAGATGTATTCTCTCAGGAACAGTAGCAGTATTGAGCTTATATACTAAATCCAGAAAAGCTATTTACAATATGTATTTCTGGTCATATTTGCTGAGTAGTGTAACTATAATACAACATAATAATAATATAACTATTCCAAGCAGGAAAAAGCAATCTTGCTGGAAAAATTACACCACCTTCATTTAGCAGCACAGTAACATGCAGATTTGTCATTAATATCATCAACAGGAACTTGGCTGAGAAGACAGATTTAAATCACAATGTTTAATGCTCCACCCACCCCCTTGGCACTGGGCAATTCCAAGGCTGCTCCACAGAAGCATGATGTAATGCAGTGCAAGCCACAAAACAAGATCTAGGATTTTTTTCTTATTTTGTAAATTGTTTCCTTCTCTGTTTTTTACTTAAAATAACTTCATGGGACCTGCCCAAGAGAGATGTTATGGTGATCAGCATGGCAGTAGCCAGTAGTTTGTGTAAGGGGGTAGGATTTACAAAGCTGTGCTAGAAATTCTCTGCCTGCTGAGGATGCAGATGTCAGGATGTTTTTTATATGAATATAGTGCATAAATATGGCCACACAGACACATCAGAAA